AAATAAAATATTAAAACAACATAGCAATGAAACAAAATATTAAAATAATAAAATAGTAGTATAATAAAATATTAAAACAACATGGCAATGAAAAAAAATATTAAAATAATGAAATAGTACAAAAATATTAAAATTATAAAATGTTAGAAGAGTAACGTCCTCATAAAAGTACACTGACATACTAATAAATGTTCACTTAAATAGACTAGTAAGATATTTATATCACACTAAGGTGTCACTAATTGTCCACATCCGTTCAGATGTGCCTACTAGCATCGACAATTGCATCTAATTATAAGTTGCATAATAATATGATAATAAAGAAATTATTCTTCAACAGCTTGCTACATTCATACAACCTCGTGTGATTGATATACTTAAGAGTCATCGATGAGTCATTAACTGCTCGATATTCCATTAAGAATGATAAAATATGCATCTAGGGTGAGACTCACCGTACGAAGAAATAACTGTGTTATTTTTTCTAGGTTATTCACTTTCGCAAGAATTTACAAATCTCATTTCTTCACAATTTTTCTTGTGACACATTTTCTTGCTGGTCAAGTTTAATAATTTCTGAAAATTTAAGAGAAGCGAATCCTAACCTCAAAGTCAAAAATTTCACAAAAATATAAGTTTGGCAAAAAATTATTTTTCTTTGTATAAATTAATGGGCTAATTAACTGATGAGTAAATGAGTAAATTAACTGATTAGAAATGAGAACTGATAAGAAACTGATTAGACTATGAAATTCGTTTTCACGAAAACCTTCATAATTTTTGTCAAAAGCTCAAAACTTCAAAATTATCTTTAACAACGGCCATAAAACTTTACTTGCCATCTATAAAATTTCTGACACATAAAAATGCGTGAAAAGTATGTAATAAATTTTCTAAAGAATTCACTAGATTCCCAACTTAGACATTTCCCAACTTTCTCATCGGTACATTCTTACCACCCTAGTAAGCCGTGAAATTCAAAGTACATTTTCGGTATTGCGAAACGCCGAAAACATAACAGTTCGGTTCTCAGCGAAAGAATGTCAGTTGTTTCACATGTAACGATGTAGGCGTGTTCGAGTGAACATACTCGTTGTAATGTGCGGTCTACGGTTGCGTTACAATTAACACCGTGTACGCTAACTTCTTCCGGAAAGTTAGATTGCACGTCCTTAAGTATACACATCTTGGCTTCCTTCAGCCCCGACATTCAAACTACTCAGTAATTATCCTGATCAATTAGGTTTCGTAATAATCATTACGCTTTTACTTGAACATAGGTTGGAGTCAAGGTATGATGAATAATGTACAAAGTGACTGCCGATAATTGCGCTCGGTAGTTATTTCTATCCGTGATTAATGTATGCCGTTGAATACAAAAACACTCGGATATCCTTCAAAAATGGAACAACTATTTTAAAGTTGAACCCGAGGTTTTTAGTGACAGAAAGTAATTAACTAGATGATATTCTTCCGTTGTTTGGAAAAAATTGAATGGGACAGGAAAGAGTAACCTTCACGGTTGAATACGTGCATGTTTTTAATTAAAATTTATTATAAAACGGAAATTAAAATTGTGATTATGTTATTATGATGTCAGGGTTCTGCTTAATTTAACAGTGTAACGATTTGGTACAAAGTTTTTACTTCAAATTTATGTTAAACAATAATTAAAATTTAAAGTAATGATGTCAGAAGATTCTGCTTAATTTAACACTGTAATTTGGTAAAAAGTTTTTGCATCAAATTTATGTTAAACAATAATTAAACTTTGTGCTGTAGTATAAGGATCTGCTCAATTTAACACTTTAATAATTTGGCATGGAGGCTTCACATCAAATTTACATTAAAACTGAAATTAAAATTCAAGTTACAATAATGATGGCTGAAGGATGTACTTAAAAAACAATCTTGTCATAATCATCAAAGTAATCTGTACTAAATTCACATTAAATTACATTCAAGAAATTTTCCTGTAATTGACACACTGAGCGCCACAGTGAAAACTGACGTGAGTGGTCAGACATACTGTAACAAAAATTATTAAGAATAGGGATACTAAATTTTTCAAAATCATCTCTCAATTCATTAGTATATCTGTGTTTAGATGTTGAGAGACCTTAAAAGTTCCTTTTGTCTGCTTTTTATATAAACAATTAGTTTAATCGAATTTACAGGGGTGGTCACATATGTCACATGTGATATAAGTATAAGAGTATACAATTTTTTAATTTCATTTTTAATATGTTAATTTATATCATTCTTTTAAAAATAGGAGTCCTTAAAAGTACCTTTTGTCTACTTTTTCTGTAAATAATTAATTTAACTGAATTTTCAATGACAATCACATATGTCACATATGACATAAGAACAAAGTTACTTCATCTTTCAATTTCATTTTTAATATGTTAATATATATCATTGTCATAATAATAGGAGTTTGCAAAAGCATCTTTCGTTTGCTTTTCATATAAACAATTAATTTAATTGAATTTACAACGACGATCACATGTGTCACATATGACATAAGAACAAAGTTACTTAATCTTTCAATTTCATTTTTAATATGTTAATATATATTATTGTCATAATAATAGGAGTTTTCAAAAGCATCTTTCGTTTGCTTTTCATATAAACAATTAATTTAATTGAATTTACAACGACGATCACATATGTCACATTTGACATAAGAACAAGTGTACTTAATTTTTCAATTTCATTTTTAATATGTTACTGTATATCATTGTCTTAACAATAGGAGTTCTCAAAAGTATCCTTCATATCCTTTTCATATAAACAATTAATTTAACCGAATTTACAACGACGATCACATATGTCACATATGACACAAAACAAGAGTACTTAATCACTTAATTTCATTGTTAATATGTTAATGTACATCATCATCTCAACAATAACAGTCCTTAAAAGTTTCGTCTGCTTTTTCCGCAAACAATTCCCCAAATTTGCATCGGTCAACAATAGCAGTCAGTTTTATCTCTTCCACCTAAATTGTCCCAGAAAAGATGCCAGATAACCGAATAATTGTCGATTAACACTTGTTCAAAGCAAAAGCGAATTACGCAAATGAAAACGTAATTAAGCAATGCGTTTGTCTCAAAATTACAAGTAACAATGACACGGAACTGGCAGAGGGAAATACAGCGACAATTCGCAACAATACGGGTCCAACTATGAGATATACAACCGATAGGTCTATGACGGGGCATATCAAGGTGGAATCAGAAAAAAATTCTCTGTACGAAACCCCGAGGAAATTGCATGATGTAATAATTGTCCTGTGGGAGTGTCTAGAATAGAACTCGAATGCCACAATACGAGTGTTGCACACTATGGGAACTATTGTTACAGATTTTACAGTCTACTACTACTGTTGTTGGCCGCGAACTCCCACGTGGCTTTCACTTGTGTCCTCGCGAATCCAAAGGTTCTTCAGGTTCTGCGTTTCCTCTTCATCTCCGCGCCAACTTCCGCTCTTTCTCGACTTTCATCTCGATGGACACGAATTTAGTTTCTTTTTTACCTATCGAAAGTCCACAATTTTCCACTAATTATTACTCTTTCAAATTAATAAAATACAATCGACTAACAGATTCTTTGTCTCAACAGAAGATGCAACAGAATTCTGTAACTTTTCTTTCTTTTTTACCAATCGAAAGTCCACACTTTTCTCCTGACTGTTACTCTTTCAAATTAATAAAATACCATCAACTAACAGATTTTTTGTTTTAACAGAAGATGCAACAGAATTTTGTAACAATATATTAACATAAAAAGTCATCAGAATAAATTTAATGAGAACGTAAATAAATAACGTAAAAACGTTGTGGCTTGTGACCTAGTGTGAATAATTAAGAAAACTGACTCAGTGAGGAAAATAATTTGAATTTTGCTTCGAAATGATTTGTGAATAGGCGGGTTTAAGTGAACTGACATTATGAATGTAGCTATGTAGGAAATGTTTATAACCTATTGTTAGAAGGACATTATCGTGAGGTACATTTGTTCGGTGCTTTAATGAGACATTGTATCTACATTGGAGAAGAGAAACTTTAATTAGGTGATGATTATTGTGGACGAAAATGTGTGAAAAATTGATGTTAATTTTTGAACCGTGCACTTTACGGTTGATGGTGCACAAGCAATAAATTATGTCATGGTGGACTACTTTAACTGTCTTCTATTTGTGGACGAATTTATTTAGTATGTTGATGAATTAATGAATTAATTTTATAGATCAATTCAGTATATCAGAAGACTAATTTAGTATACAAACTTTCTGTTTCTTACAAAGAATTATTTTGTAAGCAAGGAAATTCATTATTTATAAATAAACTTCTTATAAATTTGTAAATTCAAAACATACAACACAGAGTGTATCTTTCATATATTAAAACCAGAAACAATTTTTGTTATTTTAAATATAATTTTATGGATGCAAAATACGAATTGAAACAAGGTCTCACATTGATGAATGAATTTGCATTATGTTGCTTAAATGATAAGTCAATGGTCATTTCTAACAAGAAACTGATTGCAACTGTATATAAAATCAGTCAAATATTTTTGTGTATTTTGTATGTTAATGATAGTGAATGTCTACTAAAAAATTTATTAAAATCTTCCTTTATTCCTCGTTAACGACTTACAGAATTATTCTTCACTCATGAGTAACATACTATTCACCGTTATTTTTTATTCGTAAATAATCATCTATTATTAGATCTATATTAACGCATCGTCTATTATTTCTCAAATACACAACCGATGAAGACACAACGATTAATCTCCAATTCCAGAAACAGGTTATTCGATAACCTATTCAGCATCGCACCTCTCAATGTTTAGAGGTCATCAAGGTTGAATGGATCGCTGGAGTGTGGTGTACGTGATGGAAAGGGTGGTGGTTATCTGCTGTGTCACTCTATATATAAAGCCAAGCCAGCACCCCACGCGATATTAAGAACGTTCACCGCATCTGCGGTAACATGGTTTCCAGTTACAAGGTACTTACTCCATAGTAACTCGTTTACAATTCACCGACCAGTGCAGCGATGTGTTCACTGTGCAGAGTAATCGAACTGATCGGTATCGAATAATTAGAAAGCATTGTTATAAAATAATACGGTACAATTAAAGCACCGGTCTCGCGGGATATATTCACCACAGAGTGTATTCGTTCCGGGTGATTGTGAACATCGCGGTGCATCGTTAGTTCACTTGCAGTGCAGTTTCACAGTTGATCGGTGTTCGTACGCTTTTTTATTTAGATATAGTTTCGATCGCTTGGTGAACAGTGATTTGTGTGGTTAATCTTTCAGTCCATTTTTTGTTACGTAAGAAATTAAACAATGCACTTGTTAGGATACGAATTTTTTTATTTTATAAATGATGCTCAATGACATAACTTGATGCTACATTCAACGTCTTATTAACGTAAAATATACTCATGAAATTAAGTAACCACTTTCTTTACAAAACTGAGTATGAACAAATTAACAATATGAAGACAGATGATTTTAAATTATAAAAGTAGTTGATTATATATTACAAACTTTGAAGGAGACGAGTCAGTTATGATCTTAAACCCATTAAAATCAAGTACAATGACTGAATTAAAAACAGACATTCAAATTTCTAGCCAAAAAACTTTCCTGAATTAAAAGAGTCACTTAACACAACATACTTCAAGGAATATACTACATTCTTATAAATTAAAGTGCAAAAATGTCTGAGAAGATAATAGTTCGTCCAAAAATTAAACCTTTCTTTTTTCACACAATTTAAACATGTCAAATCATTTGAAGATTTAAACATTTCAAGTCAATCACAAAAATGTCTCAAATTCATTGACATTCTCTGAAATTACATGGATATTCCATTTCTTGCTTGTAGAAATTATCATCTACTCGTAAGATGACGCCATGGTTGATGGCAATTTTCTGTCTGGCAACCGCGGGCTGCTCAAATGTTACGGATCAGCAAACATCTGAGACACATCACGATCAACAAGTAGCGATCTTGAAACAGATCAGAAAAGTGAATGAAGACGGCTCTTACACGTACGGCTACGAGGCGGGTGACGGATCTTTCAAGGTGAGGTTAGGGAGTTATTGCAGTCGTTTAATGCAAAAGGCATGTAATGGTTCTCTGTTTCTTCATACTTCGTGACTATTTTATAACTGGAATGCTTTGCTCAGAGGAAGTATAACAAATGTACTTCTATAAACGAATCGTACAAAAATATTTATATAATCTTTATTCGAATAATTATACTTTAAATATCATACAGAAGTAGAAATACGTAACTTGTGTATCTAAAAAATATTCTTATGGAGTATAAATTTTTGAAGGAAGATATTATTTATGAAACTATAAAAGAACCCACTAATGATCTAGTTTAACGTATAGTTAAAAATATTAATAAAAGTAATGAAATTTAACTTTAGAATAATTTCAAGAACATGACAAAGTTATACCTACGAAACCTAATTTAACTTTAATAAATCAGCACAAGAAACAGAATCCAATATGTAATAAAATTTGAAAGCAAAATTTATACGTAGGCAAATTATTTTTAGCCATAAAACTCGCATGTCACCGATTAGAATTTCTGAAATACTGCTGAACATAAGAAATTATTGTCAGGTCGAGAGTCGCGACGTGCTCGGCAACATCAAGGGCACGTTCGGTTTCGTGGACGCGGACGGCGAAATAAAGAGGGTGTCGTACTCCTCTTCTAACGGGACGGGATTTAAAGCAACCACCGTGTCCCCATTGCAGGAACACGTGTCCGTCGTGCAGAGCATACCTCGCCTTAACCGTACGACAACGACGAAGAAACAAACCGTTCCCGACTCGACCAGTGAATCTCCGACGAGATTATCGGTGGTGCAGTCGATACCACGAAACAGAAACAGAAAGAAGACAACCTCGACAACGACGACCACCACGAGCACCACGACCACCGAGCAACCGGAAGGAAAAAGTAGAGTACGCTTCGTGATCAATGGTCAGCAGAGGCCATTAGTGGCCGAAGAGGAAGGAGCGGAGGACGAGGACTCGCAAATTAACCGGCCGAGTACGGAGGACAAGACAGCTACCTACCGGAGGATCATCTTCGCTAAGCGACCGATCGACCAGACTTTGAGACCCATTTCCGAGGACTTCGTAGAGAAGGATGACACCGGGAAAGTGACAACAGGGAATGCTTTGAGAAGACAACTGCACGAGGACACCACGAAACCGAATCCTATAGTGGAAGGCAGCAACGACGACCATTCCGACGTTTACGGCGGTTCCCTGTCCACGACCCGTCCTCTGTTCACCACAACCACGCCTCCGAGGGTTCTCCAACGCGTTTCCGGCAACCGCGAGAAACCGAAAGTGTACCTGAACCGAGAGAATCTGGGACCCTCGAGGTTCGAGAACGTGAAGTATGACAGCTCCAGAGTGTACGAAGCAGAAACGAAAGCGCCGCAAGAAGAGCGATCGCAATCTCAACCGGTGTTAATTCGTGGTCCCACGCTGCTGCCTGAAAATCGAGAATACGCGAGACAGGGAGCTGAGCCAGTCTTCGTCAGACCTCAACCGGAACAATTTCTTCGTGAACTACCAGGAGGGAGGATCCTGGTGCCTTCTCCGCAGAATAACATCGAAGAGGACCCAGCCTACAGGCCTATTCCTCTTAACAGAATCCTTCTGCGTCCCCTACCGAGTCAGCAACCTCTCTACTCGACGACTACGGACGCAAACATTCATTACTTGACGGAGAATCCTCTTCCGGAGCAAGAGGAGAATGCGAGAGTCTCCATGGCGCCGGGGTACGCGCGTCCGAGACCCTTTCTGCGACCCATGATCTATCAAGAACCTGAACCGAGACCCAGACCTGTTCTCAGACCTGTCTCTCCTCCGGTCACACACGCAGTTGACGACAGGGAGTATCAAACCACCCCGGAGTATCCCTACAGGGGAAGCACCATAGCTCTGCCGCCAGAACCCCCGAACCCCATTGCACCTCCTCTGAGTCGTCGCGATTTTCAGCTGCTGTTGCGAAGACTACTCGTGAGTCAGTACGGTGTGCAGGCTCTGTCTTATCCCAAAAGCTACTTGGAGGACGCGTTATACGATCAGCAACCGTATCCTTCTTATCAGCCCGCGTATCAGACAACTGGACCCCGCCCGGACATCGGATACGATCAGCAGGTGTCTCTTCAGTATGGAGATCGTGTGCCTCTCAGACGACCCGTGTACACTCGAGCTCTGAATCCGACTGTTTATCAGTCGCAACAGTACGATGATTACAACGAAAGATACCCGAAGAGAGTTTATAGACAGAAGTTCTATGCACCGGAGGTCACCGACGACGGAGATGAGATACTGCCTGCGCCTATCAGGGAGGCGCTTCTGCTCAGAATGCTGCAACTGGCGATCAATGCTGAACGACCACCCATGGTTCCTACTACGATGATGACCACGACGCCTGCTTCCAGGTACAGGAAGACGGGACCTGTCAGGAGTGTACAGATCATCGGGGATGACGAGGAGGAGGAGAAGGAGATGATGAAGAAGAAGATGTAACGGGTAGAGTCTTAGAGAAATTTTTTCAAAATTGCAGAGTTTATTTTTTTAACGACGATTTTAGAACACAGGCAGTGTAAAAAACATATGAATTGAGTACTATATAAATATTGAAGATTAGCTTGTATAAGATTTAGAGAAATAACTTTTGAATTATTTATTAGTTATTTATACTTTTTTACTCAACACGTATTCGAAGTATTGCACACTCACGAGGTCACCGTTCATTTTGCTTCCACAATTTCAAACATTAAAATTGAATTAATATTTTTAAATATGAAATTCTCAGCAGCTTGCAAGAGATATGAGAATATTTTTAACGCGACACTTGAATCCAATTTGGGCAACGAAAGATCACGATATCGCAGTACAATTCATGTTCATTTTTCTTAATGAGAAGCTTCGCATAAGGGATCGTGAGAATAAAGGAAAAGTAACGTTGATAGACAATCGCAGCGACACAGTTTTCACGGAACATACTGAAATCACTGGCGAAACGAATCGGCTTCTCAGAAAGGGAAATGTCCCGTGTGTTCGACGATTTTCCGCACGACAACTTTCAAGTATCTCGCAACGTTTGTTTTTTTGCTTTCAAGTCGGATCGTCGCTGCCTCTGGAATCGAGAAAGCAATTAAATCAACGTATATATATGGTCAACCCGGTATATTGCGTTGATCTTGCCCTATCCGGTTGTGTCACTACAAACGTTAGCACATCCAAAGATGACCCTATAGAATAGAGCACTGAGCAAAATTTATGTGGATACGTTCAATGTCATCGTCACACTTATCTGGTTTACGATTTGGATTTTTTAAGAGAATTATGTGGTGTGAAGACATAGTGGGACACATAGTAATGACAATTGATAGTGGAGAAAAAATTCATTAAAAATACATCTATCGACAAAATTCATTAAATCAGCTGAAAGACTGTCATCAACAAAATGGCTGCCAATGCAGAGGGTTGAAAATTCGTTGCACGAACACGGTTGTGTTTTAGTTTATCTGTTATCTTTGTAGCTAAGTATCTTTGACTGCACAGTTGTCAACTTCTTATATTTTTATGTGTTTCTTCATATTCTGTTTAATATTCTTTTTAACATATCTGAACGGAAGCTTCATCATGATGTTTCGTCAGATGGTAATTCTTTCGGTTTGTAAATCTCATCTATGTTCACAGTGCTATCTGAAACTTCCTGTTTTGTATTTGAAAATCTTAGAGATTAGAAAAGTCTTAGAAATAGAAGAGTAGAAAATTCTTAAGTTGCAACACTTCCAAGTTTCTAAAATGCAAATATGAAATATTTCTACATATTCAAATTTCCAAATTTGTAAGTGACTAAATTTCAGTCTTTGTAATCCTTCAAATACTCAAACTTGTGAGTTTAAAAATTAGTAATTCTCTATGAGTCTCCAAAACCTTAACAACACATGTCACAAATCCTGTATGCAATTCCACACATTAATATGTCAGATATGAAAGAACATACCTGATATGATTAATGAAAGTATTATACTAATCATACTCCCCTAATCGCATCCCTATTATCCCAGTATTATTACATTAAATCTATATTCATATAAAATTTCACAAAATCCTCCACCAAAGATCCTCTCCAAGAATTTTAAAAAACGAAAATAATTTTCAATAATTATTTTGAGTAACTCTTGTCGATAATATTGAACGTATCGATTCACCTGACGCCCTTTAGCCTTCGTTCCATTGTAAATATAATATTATATAAGCCAATGTAATATACGTATCGAAATAAAGCGAGCTAGATTACAGATAAACGTGGTGTGAGAATTCATTTCATAAGCCTCCTGAGAGCCAGCGTACCAGGAAAGAATAATAACGTGTCTGCCGTTCGTAATTAGCATCGCAAGTTGCGACATTTTACTGTCGGATACGAGAACTCGTTTGTTTGTTAGAAGAACGTGTTGCATGTGTTATGGCTGCACGAGGGTGTAGACCATGGGATTTTGCACGTGATTTCCACGTATTCAGCATGCTGCTTGCCAAATCTCCGGATGGGGACACTCGAGAAAGTTTCGGTTTATGGGAATATCAGAATGTTTCGTTAAAGAAATGACAGTTTGACGGTTTTTATGGTAAAGTGAAACCGCGATGATTGACTGTTTACTTGTATCGTGATACATCTGTTATTTATTGGAAGTAACTGGTGGAAAGTGGATGCTGAAATAATCACGTGCAAGAGTGGATTGTAGGTTTTATGAGAAGTTTGATCCTGAAATTAGTTCTCAAGTTTCCTAATTTCTTAATTAACAGTGAACAAATTAGTAAATTTTTGAACGTTCAAATCGAGCTTTGAGGTTTTCAAATATTCAAGCTTTGAAGTTTTCAAGTATTCAAATTTAAAAATTTTCAAACATTCAAGTTTTATATTTTTAAGTCTTCTAATTTTCAAGTTTCTAAGATTTTAAATTTCCAGATTTGCAAATTGAAGAATTTTTAAGTCCTTTTCTCAGTTTCCTAAATTTGGACATCCACAAATATTCAAACTTCTAACTCAACAATTTCAAAGTTTCCAAATACTCCAATTTCTCTAATCTTCCATTTTTCACATTGAAATTATCAATTTTAAAATTGTCAAATATTTGAACTTCTCATAGTCTGTTATTCGATGAACAGAGAAAACATGTCTTTCATAAACTGAAATATTAAAATCAATCCACATATGTTTAAATCAATATATTCAATTTGTCTACTAACAAATGTTACGCAAACAGCATTCAGAAGTGATATATTTAATATGAAATAGAACGGAAGCCAGCTCAGCGTAAATGAACAAGAATTTCTTTTTTCAAGCATTCGATTTTTCCGCTGGAACCGGATGCACGTGTGAAAGGTTGTCGTATAAAGACAGAAGCGTTCGAAACCGCGTTCTTATGCCCCGCAAACTGTGACTTCCGGTATCCTGTAAACGTACCAATAACGTAGTTTTAAAAGGATATAGAAATGGTTTGCCTTCGAAACGGCTAATTAGAGCGGTCGTTGTTTTCATTAACTTTCCTCGTCGGAAAGTCCTCGTAAAAGATGGAGTATTTCATTGTTTTGCCGTGCGTGTACACCGCGCAGATGTATTTATGTGCAATCGTAGAAGAAACACCGAGAGGAAGAAAAGTGAATTCACAGCGTTCAGATTACCATCTTGATTAATCCTCGAGTTTAGCCAACAATTGTGTAGCAAAATATTGCAAAACAGAGTTATTCCGCAGACAATTTTATACGCGTTTCTTCATTTCATACTTCGTCACGTAATAAAGTTCACAGTGAAGTACTATTGTCTTGGTTACTGATGAATGACTTTTTTGGGTTTGTAGGAAATTGTTTGGTAACGAATGTTTTTATGAAACAAATTAAACTTTGAGGAAATTGTTATATAAAATGTATATGTAACATAAATTAAATTCAGGAACAAGAATTTGTAAAGAAAATGCATGCTCTTTGGTAAAATTTAAAAAGTGAAGATAGAACGAAAATTTAATTTGAGGTTCTTTGTGGAGAATCAAAATATTTGTAAAAGTCGATTACTTCATTAAAATCTTTTTATAAAAATTGCCACGCTTTATTTTTAATAAGTTTTGATTTTCTCAAGATTTTCAGTACCATCTGTTCTTTTCATAATATTTCATAAACATGAAATATAGTAACAAAATTTTTAAATAATTTATATGTTATTTTGTTGCATACACACATACTGAAATATGTATTTTGTGAAATAAATAGCTTGCAATTAAAAAAATCTCACAAAGATGTAATTATACATGTACCTTTATTTGTTCACTTATTTGAAGATATTTTAACAAAAATATTATAAACGAGTCACTAGTTCTAGTTAAAAATTATCTTATCTATAATACACGCTATATACACAATATTGGAACACATTTATTCTAAACTTATCAATCATTTCGCTAAATAATCATTTGCTAATTCACACACATGAGGTGCTTCATACATGTATATATATTTCAAATATTTTCAGAAAGAGTCAAAATTTAAAATTGTTCATTTTTCAAAAGATCACAAACTTGTTTCAATGTAACAAGACAGAACTTTTGTTGTAACATTTTATTTTGAAAAATCTGCAATTTTCAATATTTCTCGTGAAACACATGTGTATTATCGTGATAACTCATGTGTGCTTAAAATTACAAAAGATGTGCATACGGTTTTAAACTAAAGTATGGAGATTTTTATCAGTGATCTAAATAAGGAATTGATAGATTATCAAACTTAAAATTGATAAATTGATTATTTATCAATTTTCAATTTATAATTATTACATATATATCCTACATTATTACTGAGCATGTTCATGCAAATACATAATTCTTCTCTTTCAAACTAGTCAAATATAATCTATTCTAAATGTATTATATTGGATTTTTATTCTTTCATACGTCATTAATGTATGGACATTCTTAACCTACTTATACTTCACATTTTTTATAGTGCCTTTACAAAATCCTGACTCTGACTTAGTTAAATGTTCATCAACAAAAATAAAAAAAATTAAATTTTTTCCTAAAATAAAATCAAATCTCAAAGAATTAATTTCTTAAACAAATTGTAACTCAAATAAGAACAGTTTCATTAAAATTTAAATCTTTCAAAAATAAAATATGAACCGTTTGCAGTCCATTAGAAAGTGCAAAAAAAATTTCCTACAAAATAAAATAAAAACGGCAAAATGTGTAACAAAAATTTAAATTGCAATTTTGTCGAATTAAATTGATTTTTGCCAATAATGGTTGCACCTTAAGATTCCGTAAATTTCAACGCAGTCGCTATCGGTCAGAATTTCATAATAAAAGTGAGGGTACGAATGCTTGCATGACTCATAACACTCGAATACCTTTAAAATACTGAATAAATACGACAATCCCCGACAAATTCAATTAGACGCTTGCGAAACTTTCGAGTGAACCGAAGCAGAACGGGGCACATTTTTCGCACTCTCAGCATCGTCCTCCAGAGAATAAGGACTGAAAGGCTCTGTTTGTACACCTACGTCCTCGTAATCGAGTTCCAAGGCATCTTGTTCGTAAATGGCGTCGTGACTTCGTGGGCGGTCGACAGATGCAATCCACGGTTGTGGAACGCCTTTTCCAAGGGCCAGGAAAACAGCAGCGGTTGATAGAAGAACAACCGAAGCAACGCCGAAAACTAGCCGCCAAGATCCTGCAATCTGATACAAATTTATTATCATTTTATCCGGATAACAAATTTCTGTTATTGATCGTCGAAACTTTTCTTGAAACTTCATTAAAATTTATTAAATAGTAGTTCACAATAGTAGTTCAATTTTGTTCAAACAAAATTCTGGGTTCTTTATATTTTACAATTTTGGGATTTTGAAGTTTTGACACATTGAGATTTACTTTGAAACGTTTTAATTTTTTAATATTGGGACTTTGAGTTCTGTTATGAGAAATTTTTTACTATTTTAATGTAGATATGGATGTTGAAATGTTAGAAATTAATGGGACACTGAATAACTTGATAGAGTACATGCTAAGCATGTGAATTGAGAAAAGTTGTTTGCAGGAATCAGATTATTGAATCTGACTGTATGATAGTGTGATTAGTATCGGTTTGTCAATATGTCAGTATGATCAATGTCAGTTTGTTAATGAGACAATATGATCAATGTCAGTTTGCCAATATATCAATATGTCAATATGATCAATGTCAGTTTGCTAATACACGAATGTGATTAGTGTCAGTTTGTTAACACATCAACGTGATCAATGTTAGCTTCTCAATGTGTTAATTTGATCAATGTAAATTTGTCAATATGATCGACATCAATTTGTCAATTTATCAATACATCGATGCAATCATCAATATATCCTAATTTATAGTAAATCTTGTTTAGTTCATAGAACATGTTATTAAACACGTAATTTGAACATTCTCATACAAAAGTGAACCAAGTCAATCCAAAGAGATAACCTTATAAATTTATATTTAATTTTCAAAATAGGAAAACTTACAGAACCATGCAGAGCTTGGGTAACAAAGTAATTAGCGGCTAATAATCCCGCTGCCCCTAACGTAGAGCATAATGCACATGCAGCCGCTGCACAGGCTGGAGATTCAACAGGTGCAAGGTCTGCTATAGCTGCTAGAGCACCTGCGGGTGCAGTTCCAGAAACTAGGAGAGCAGCTATGCCCAACCAGGCTGCCCCCAGAGCTTGACAACCGGCATAGCCGGCAACAAAGAGCAGGGCTGCTGGTATGAAATGAGCTGTAAAATGAGAAATTAGTCTGCGTGAATTTATAACAGCGTTTCTTTAAGGGTGAGTCGCGAAATGGGGTCGTAAAGAGAAACGTAGGAAATGGGGTCGTAAAACAAAATGGGGTCGTGAAAATTTAGTCGATATACAGTTAAACCGAATTCACTTAATTTAATCTAAGAAAATAAGTACAATAAAATTGGAAAAAATATTGAGTTAACTAAATGGAAATATTAAATTGATTGGAAGACATTTTCTGTGTATTTAATTTTGTAGATCAGATTAATAAATAAAAATATAAATTAACATAGTCTGAAAATAAATTACAGAGGAATGTTTGCATTCGTTATAAATTATTTATTTTAACATTGTTAAATGATTTAATATTATACAAATTATACGAATAAATTATTCAAGTATTGTAATAATTATCAAGTGAGAAAGTATAGCTAAGATAAAAATTTTTAAGAGAAAAATAAATACTGCAAGTATAATATTTAATATACTTAACTTGACTACATAAATAAATATTTTCAAACAAATTGTATAATCTATCAGCAATGTTAAATAGTGTCATTGAACGATTACAAATAACTGCAGATATTAACTACATATACTACGATTTAATCTCCAGATTCTTCCACGTGTAAAGATTACTTATAATAATTCGCAAAAAGAAATCATTTACAGTATACAATAAACGTAAAGATGAACATGATCTGTCCATGTGATACTTATGCAAGTTATCCAAAAGTTGTACTTCCTGTACATTACACGGTCATAAATCACAGAGATAACAACCTTTTGAAAACACGAGTCATTTAATTTCTTCGTTTTAGACAGACACGATAAAATTAGGTGAGTATTCGTAAAAGTGTACACACTTTTAATCGCAATACATACCAGTGTAAACTACCAGCTTCCTTGCTGTGGTTGTTGAAACTATTTTAGATTCACGTACGTGATCCACAAGTAGACCGCATGTTAATGCCGCCATAAAATGGCCGATGTGAGGTAATGTTGTGAGAACGGAATCCTGGAATTTTTATAAATTTCAAGCTTTTTTATCGTTCAGTTCTTTTTATTTTTTATTTGAGTATATTTTACTTGGAAGTATTTTTCAAATTATTTTTATTAACAGAATATTGTGGCTGAAGTATGGTATGAGTTCTGAGAATTTTTAGATGTATTTAGAAAATTAAATCAACATGTACAACGTATACAATGTATACAATGTATATTGCACGTAGTATAGTACAACATACATATAGAATGTATACACATATACATTGCATACAGTATCATACAACAAACATATATAACATACATATGCATTGCATGCAGTGTAATACAACATACATATACAATGTATACACATGTACGTACAGTATAACACAATGTATACATGATTGATACAGAATGATACTGTAGCTAATTATAGAACAGAATATTTAAAATAACTATAAAAAAGGGTAAAAATAAATTTTGATGTTAAAGATCAAGATAAAAATTCGAAATAATGTATTAATTGCAAATTGTTAAAATTGTAATGAAATAAAAAACTTACATTGGCTGTAGAGAATCCGTAGATGAGTTTCAGATACTTTGTCATACCAAGAGCAAGGGTGGCATCACCCCATTGGTTACCCATGGTTGCTACAGCAGACGCCCATACAGGAACAGATCGCAGCAGTTTTCCCCATGGAATTACAGCTGCCTGTTTTATCATAAATTTCAAAGTTATTTTTTTTTTATTGGTATTGTTGCTAACCAATGCAGTAATATTATTTTTCTCTTTTAAAGCTGTGAGTGCATGCTGTATGTAGTGAAGAGGTGAACATTTATAAAAAATTTAAATTTACAAATTTGGAAGTTTAAAAATTTACAATTATACAAGTTTACAAATTTACGAATTTGGAGGTTTATTATAAAAATTTAGTAAAATATAGAATTTAGAAATTTAGAAATTTTCAAGTTTCGAAATTAATTAAAATGTATACCATATGTGTATGTATGGTAGCAATTGTCCTTTAATTTTTTATCGTCGGTTCTAATATAAATATAACCTATATTATAATCATCATAACCTACATACCGATAACCTTGTACTTGTTATCAGTTACAACCGATATATCATCAAACATAACCTACATATTTATTATACCACAACCTACATATTATATATCACCCCCTACGTATCATCACACAAAACCCACCTATGTGATTTATTAAATAACAAGAATCTGTATACCAAACAATGAGAATATTTGCAATTTCTGAAATAGCAAACATTCCCATTTTTCAAAAATTTCACCCGAGTGCCAGAGAATTTATACCTTTATTTGATAAAGGATTAAAATTCATGCAATATCTTCACGACTGAAAGATTACAACTTAAACATCTTCAAGTTTTGGTAAAGATCAGTTACAACTTGACAACGATACAGTTTATTCAATATTTAGAGAGACCCCAATTAATATAACGTAACGCCTAATTAATCTTCTAAAACAATGGCATCTTCGTTTTAACAGTGCAATGTCGTATAATTTATAAGACATTTGCTCGTTTTTTACGTGACAAATGTCGTAACACATACATTACGTTGCCAAAACAGGCTGGAATGTATACATAGACATAAATTACGTTACCAGTTGTAATCCTAAAGAACACAATCGGAAAGGAAAACCGAAAGATATTACTTATCTTTCGTTTCATTTTCCTTTTCAAGAAAAGTGACGCAAGTTGAGGAAAGATGAATGTAAAATTGGTAATGCGATTATTGGAGATAACTCAGGACTAAATTAATATCGTATTTGTGTGTTCGTGAAAGTTGACTTTTTCAGAAAGTCGATTTTTATGAAAATTATCAATGTTAAGTGAAAAGTTATTTACAATTGATTTCATTATTTACAATATTGTATAGAATTTAAAAAGAACAATTTTACTATCATAAAAATGACAACATGGAAGAGCAAACTTTATACAAAAGAAACTTGAAACTGTTGTTTAAAATTAAATATAAAGAACTAATAAAGAGATAATGGAAGATGAATTGAATACGAAGAATTATTTAAAAAATTGTAACTGTAATTGTTCACATAACTATTCTTGTAGGTAATACATTTTTATTTATAAAGCAAGAGCAACTTTTAGGTTTAGACATTTCAGTCCTTAGCGATCTAAGAATTAATAAATAATTTAACTACTTGATAGAACTTTTAATTAAAAGAAGTAGAAAGTTCTGTATATAAAATAAATATTTTTTGTTGAAATATTCTACTCGTCTTCTTCAAATATTTCACTCAGTAATTATGTAAATAAATCAGATGAAGCTTTCAGATGATTTGATGAAGTCTTCTAATAAGTAGATACATAAAAATATTTTTTTAAAGAATGATTCTTACATTTGTGTCGTGTTGATACGATTTCGGAGTGTCCTTCACGAATCTCCCGAAAGCAAAGTACCAACATAATGCAACGAGGACGAGACCATAACAGAGAGAGTCTCTACCGAAACTTCGAACCATGGCTGTACCTAACCACCCCGTGAGGCAGTATCCAACACTGACAGCTATCGAACAATTTTCATTAATAAAATGTGAAAAGGACGAAATTTGAAAATGAAGACTTACCAGCATAGCAACTGAAGTACCAGCTTCTGTGATTGCTTTTGAACCATGTCATTGCGAACATGTGTGCTGCAGGCATAGTTGCACCCTGTAAAAGAGTTCGTTTATTATTTCTTCTATGAAATCGTTACTTTTATTTTTGGTTAAACTATGTAACGTTATAATTACAAATTATGTGTTAAAATTAGAAATTACCAATTATAGTTACAAATTATATGTTAAAGTTTCAAGTTACCAATAATAATTTCAAATTATATGTTAAAGTTTCAAGTTACCAATAATAATTACAAATTATGTGTTAAAGTTTCAAATTACCAATAATAATTACAAATTATGTGTTAAAGTTTCAAGTTACTCGTTAAAATTACAAGGAACTCATTAAAATTACAAATGACCCTTTAAAATTACTAATTACTCTTTGTAATTATAAATTACCTATTATAATTATAAATTACCCATTAAAATTGCAAATTACCCATTTAAATTATAAATTACTCATTAGAACTACAAATTACTCATTACAATAACAAATTGCCCATTAAAATTGCAAATTACCTATTTAAATTATAAATTACTCATTAGAACTACAAATTACTCATTACAATAACAAATTGCCCATTAAAATTACAAATTACTTATTATAATTACAAATTACACATTACAGTTATAAACTACCCATTACAATTATAAACGTACACTCCTTTCACTATTTTTTTAAAATTCATTTTTTATCAAACTTTCCAAAATTTATATGTCAGTTTCAAAATATTTTAACGCTGCTGCAAAAATATTTAGTACATTAATTTTGTCATGTATTCTAATATAATCTTCCTATAATCACAACCTAAATTTTTTCCAAAATTACAATACAAAACATGTGAAATAAACACGAGCATAATAATGAAAACACGTTTGACAGTATCATCCAGCAGAACGATAAGACGTAAATAAATCGTCGAGCTTATCAAATTAAAGAGTAAACGTTTAATGAATTCATGATTATGCAATTTTATAATATTGTTTATTCTCACCGTACACAATCCCTGAAAAAGACGAAGAGCCACGTGCGACGGACCTCTCCATGCGGCTGGTACCAACAAAGACGCCAAACATGCGCTGAGAACCGCGCGCGAAAACACCATCGATGGTCCCGATCTTCCCCATACCAAACACCCTCCCAAAATTGGCCCAGCAACTTGTCCCCATAGAAACGCTTCTCTCATTATGGACTCTGTACGTTCCTCGGGTGGTAACTGTGAAGATATTCGATTATAACGTGTTTACTTTGTGAAGGCACGTGAAAAAGGCACGAGTAGAATACAAATTCTAAATTAGGGATTTTATTGAAAAAGTAGGGAAAGTCTTGTAGTATTTATGGAAGGTTGTTATAATAATATAAATGGGGTAGGATCTGAACGTTGGTGATGTAGAATAGTGATATATATTATTAATAAATTGATAAATTGATAATATAGTAAAGTGGTAACTTAGAAAATTGACTACAAAGTTTTATACTTTGAACTATGGTGGTGACAGAGTGTTAATGATGTTATGAAAAATCTTTATGAGAATTTGCTTTGTGAAATTTGCTAAAATCATGTGTGGAAATATAATGAGAGAATTACAAGTACATAATATTTGAATAGTGAAATATTATCACTGAATATGTTAGTAAAAACTGATTTAGGTGTCAGTAGATTGTAAATGAATTTCGTTATTTCATCCAGTTAGTTAGTTATGAATTTAGCTATTTTAAGTGTCAGAAGAATTCACTGAATTTCAACAAAATTCAAGTTCAAAATTCAACAAAATGCTATCACATTTGAGACTTCATTTTTAAGCAACTATGAATAGAAGAATCAATGCAGAAATGTTTACGTTGATGTTTCTTTAAAAATAAGCATGATGGTACCTGGCGAGTGCGGTTGGATGATGTGCGTGACTTCTGATGAGCAGGTTTCTGAAACAAAATGTGAACAATGGAATATTAAATAGGTCTAAGATGTTTATCATCCGACGTTGAAATAAAACTTTCAGTTAAAAATTTCATGTTCCTTTAGTAATAAACTCTTCCATATTTGTTAATCACTAAGATATCGAAAATATTCTACGTCGGGCGATACACAACTTACAGTAACATTATTTAATGATCCATTGTTCAAATTTTATTCCAGAAATCTACTTATCCTAAATGAATTTCTGATACTATAAGAATGTAATACTTTCGATAAATGAATCATGGTTGAATGCATATGAGTTGAATTTGATATTTTAATATTTGACATTTGATATTTATAAAATTATTTGTAATAATGTTTGCAGTATTTTTTTTTTTAAATTATTTTCGATAAATTGTGTATTTTTATATGAATAATTTATGGAACTTTATTGCATGATTTTGTCATGATTAGAAATGCATATATTTAATTTTCTCTAGTGATAAATCAATTTTTGTGCTTATACTATGATACTTGTAGTTATTGTTTTACGAAATTTACCTCCATAAGTATAACTTCGAAATCTTCTGTTCGGTTACGACTACTGACGTTGACCAGCATGTCACAATGCCAGGATGTGTCGATGATGGCATGATTGTCTTTCTGATTGGCAAGCAATGCAACTGAAGAGCTGACTTCAACTGCACCGCAAAGCGCAAACCCCACTGCTACGAGCGCTGCAACGATGTGTCGCGCTCGTACAGCCGCTAAACAAATTACATTTTCATTAAATCATTTATTGCAATTTAACTATACCTAAATCTCCTGCTATCTCATTGAACATATCAAGTTATATACAATTTATAAAGAGAAGTACTACCACCCTTAACTCTATAAACCTTAACAAAAAACATTAAAAAAGTACAATTTATAAAGAGAAATACTACCACTTGTAATACTTTCGATAAATGAATCATGGTTGAATGCATATGAGTTGAATTTGATATTTTAATATTTGACATTTGATATTTATAAAATTATTTGTAATAATGTTTGCAGTATTTTTTTTTTTAAATTATTTTCGATAAATTGTGTATTTTTATATGAATAATTTATGGAACTTTATTGCATGATTTTGTCATGATTAGAAATGCATATATTTAATTTTCTCTAGTGATAAATCAATTTTTGTGCTTATACTATGATACTTGTAGTTATTGTTTTACGAAATTTACCTCCATAAGTATAACTTCGAAATCTTCTGTTCGGTTACGACTACTGACGTTGACCAGCATGTCACAATGCCAGGATGTGTCGATGATGGCATGATTGTCTTTCTGATTGGCAAGCAATGCAACTGAAGAGCTGACTTCAACTGCACCGCAAAGCGCAAACCCCACTGCTACGAGCGCTGCAACGATGTGTCGCGCTCGTACAGCCGCTAAACAAATTACATTTTCATTAAATCATTTATTGCAATTTAACTATACCTAAATCTCCTGCTATCTCATTAAAAAACATTAAAAAAGCACAATTTATAAAGAGAAGTACTACCACCCAACTCTATAAATCTAAACAAAAAACATTAAAAAAGTACAATTTATAAAGAGAAGTACTACCACCCTTAACTCTACAAACCTAAATAAAAGTCATTAAAAAAGTATCAAAACTTGTATATGTTAAAAAATAATCTTGAACATACAATGTCTTAGATCTGAATCAATTTTACATAGGAACCCAAATTATAAAGAAGAACTTAATCATAAAATGTAACCTTTACAAACATTCACTGTTTTATTACAGTAAATACGATTTCATTTTATTAAAGTACAAAACAATGACTTTTAATAAATTCGTCCACAGTTTGAACTTCGTCAATGAACCTTGTCACTATTTTATAGTAAAAAAGTTCCGAACTCTTGTTACTATAAAATATTTATTATAAAAATATAAAATATGCGTTACTATAAAACAAGCTACTGTTACGTGCATTGTATTGGAAACACTGGTTGTCACGTGTAATACGTTTGATGTAGATAAGAAAATCGAACAACAGACGGTTTCCATTTCAATATTCAATATCGAACCATCTAAGGTTAAAGACAACCCTAAAAAATATCTCTTTCATATTTTAATATATAAAATATTACAAAACGAAATTTTATACACCCATCATATTTTACTTTATAAATTCCGTTTAACTTTGACCATCTTATACCATTCAAAAAATTGTACATCACAAAATTGCTTTCTCGAAAAAAATTGAATTTAATAAGATTTTTAATCGCATTTTAAGGGATGGAAATTTTACGAGATTCTACGATCGATCGGACGAACCTCGAAGTTCTTTAGAAGCTTGTTTATTTTTTAATGCTACCATGTTTCGCGAATTTTTCACTCTCTCGATTAACAAACTCTGCCATTTGACAAAACTCGAAAAGAGCGAAATCGGCGAGTGCATACCTCTCTTATCTTCCGTTGTTTGACTCTACGCCTATTATCTCTTTCCTACTACGTACAATGAAGGCGACCTCGACTTTGGTTTTTTTGGGACATAGTGCAAACAGTGGTTATTGAAACAACAACTAACTAGATAAGAAGAATTTTTGTACGGTTTTAACCAAACTATTGGGTGCAATAGGAATTCCCCAAATGAGGATAATTATTGAAGTTACGAATAAAATTCTTTATTTAAAGTATTTATACTTTTGGGATTTTTGATATTTACTTTGAAGTTAGTCAATTTTTAGATGATGGATTTTGAAATTTGGAAATTTGGGAATTTTGGAAATTTGGGAATTTTGGGAATTTTGGGAATTTTGGGAATTTGGGAATTTGGGAATTTGGGAATTTGGGAATTTGGGAATTTGGGAATTTGGGAATTTGGGAATTTGGGAGTTTTGGAATTTGGAAATTTGGGTATTTGGAAAGCTTGGAATTTGGAAATTTGGGTATTTGGAAAGCTTGGAATTTGGAAATCTTGAAATTTGGGAATCTTGGAATTTGGGAATCTTGGAATTTGGAAATCTTGGAATTTGGACATCTTGGAATTTGGAAATTTTGGAACTTGGTCATTTTGGAATTCTGGAAATCTTGAAATTTGGAAATCTTGGAATTTGGAAGTTTTGGAATTTGGAAGTTTTGGAATTTGGAAATCTTGGAACTTGGAAATTTTGAAATTTTGCTATTTTGGAATTTTGTATTTAAAAATTCCAAACTTTGAGAGAGAGTTTTAAAGTTTTCATAACTCTAAATTTTGTCAAAGAAGAATTTCTCCATTTTATAATCTCTAATCCTTACAATTTTAAAATCTCCATCCTTTCATACTATCTAATCACAAAACTTCGTTGCTCTCAAAAAATAATCCATTACAAGTATCATTACAGTTTTCAAAATTCCCACAAAGATTTCGAAGGTATATCTTTTCTCCTCAGATAAGATCGTGTATCGTTTCAACCTACCTAGACAGTATGGAAAATTTCATGTACATCATACGAGAAATTATATAATTAGAAGACAATCGATAACATATCATTACATCGTCGCTATCGTACAATGTACGGTTTATTATCATCATTGATAAAAAGTGGTGCCACAATTTTTGTCCACGTTACTATTTACACGATGTAATTACGCGTGGATCATTGTTTTGGGTATTGCTCTTTTAACTCGCGTTGTAACTGCGACACAATTGAGGAAAACTAACAAATGTAATAATATGTACACTGACGATAACGTTGAGTACCTATAGATGTCTGGATACAGATTTACCTAAGAATTATCTAAATATTACTCATCGAGGTCTGAACATTGATAATTCGACATTAATAAAATTAAGTGTTATGGATTATTAACAGTCTTATATCTGGCGCCATGTATTTGCTATTTTTGTACATAAGTTGTCACGCCATTATTTTTCGCTGCATTTTTATCTTCTCTTCATGAAATTTCAGTTAAAGTTCTATTTAATTAGTTATTTACAAGTTTTATTAATTATTTTGCAAAATTTATTTCATGTTAAATATAATTCTATACGTAGGTGAAAAAGATTAGAGGAAAAATTGTGGAGGTACATTTGTAGAAATGAACTTCTAGAAATTCTAAATTTCTTGAAATATTCTGTGTATAAAAAGAGTGAGGAGCAATGTTAAAATAATTAATAATCCATGAGTTGTTTTAAGTAAATATTTTAAAAAATTTTGCAAATTGAACTTTTTAATATTAAAATTTTTTTAATGAAAATTATCATGAATATAGAAAGTAATGAGTTGAAAGTAATTTTAGTAAACTAAATTTCGGATGTAAATATTTAATCTTTTTTGGGAAAACTTATTTTTCTTTTAAGGTGATTATATTGCACATTTTGCCTTTTTCTCTTAAGGTTATTTTATGACAGTTATTCCAGTATACTACTGGTGTTATTTAGTCTTAATATTAATCAAAAGTACTAAACGTTACATTAACTTTGCAACATACAAAAATTACATATTCCTTGATACTCATTTAACTAAAAGTTAAATTTCAAGATTTTCACTGTGTGCACTTAACGTTTACTTTACAGTAATTTGAAATAATTCTGAATTAAATCTACAACGTTATGTAGGCTATACAAGACAGCAATAGTCGTGATAAAAGTAACTACGAAACTTTTCAAGTATGATTCACAACTACCAAAATAGTGAAGTATTTAACCTAATAATCCTTTTGATCAAAGTAATTCTTTCATCAATCTTCAAATTTTACGAAATCAACCTTATTTTCCCAACAAATTATAGTACAAAACATATTTGGAACAGTAATTGCTAAATAGCGCTCGCAATATAGTATTTAGAACATATGAAGTAATCGTTTTGAAAGAATAATTGGTTACCTTTCATTTCCCGCGCCGCATGTCTCAACTGGACACTTCCACGTTTAAGACGAACGAGCGCTGCCATGTCTATCGAATGTACCAACGTATAGTTCGAGTTTTCATTACGTGGCACCGACACTTTGAACACATTTTACGATGTCACTCGGGACTTTTCACTGACACCTCTGTACCGAGATTCTGGACCAATCTGACCGTAGCGAGTTGCACGAACCATACTGGTCATCTGGGAGTACGAGTGAATGAACATCTCTGTTAACGAGACTTGATACAATAAGTACCTATGCCAGGTCAGCCTTGAATCACCGTTTCAAGCCTGCCTCGTGATATTTTCTGGTCTGTGTCAGAAAATGATATCGCAAAATCTGTACGCGATAACAACGCGTTTGATAAAAATATTTAATGAAAACAGAGTCTCAGATTTATCGGTTTCAGTTTCAACGATCTGTGATTTCTTTGATTTTGAAAATTGATGCATACAAATATTTAAGTCGTATATGAACCTTGTAGAGATTATAATGGTCTGTGAACTTAAGTATTATTTAGGAAATAATAGTAGAGTGTTCGATTTAAATATGAGGACATTGAGTATTTTATTTTGAAAAATTTTCTTTAGACTTGTAGAGGTATAGGAAGAAAAATAGGAGAACCAGATAACTAATATGTAGTATAGCTATAATTTTAATTATTTAGTTTAATTTGTATTATTTTTTAATTTGATAGTTTTCAAACAGTCACATGTCTACCGTACCACCATATACAAAAGTAAAATAAAGTTAAAATTTCTACGGTAAAAAAGTTAATTTAGCCAATCAATTTTAATAGTTAGAATAAAAAAGATTTTGTATAATATTTGATGAAAGTTGTGAAAGCAATAAATTATGCGAGATATGATAAATCAATAAGTAATTGCAAATTAATAGATATGGTATAATACACATTAATACGGTGATTAATAGATATCTTACAAAATATGAAAATCTAAATCCAACTAGAATTACTTTTCAAAGAGATATGATCAATATTGGACCGAAAAATCAATATTAATTGCATTTTTTTTTTTTAGTAAACATGTGGCGCCATCTCTTCAACGAACAGGGTGAACTACACACTTTTGAAACTCCAGTTTCACTAGTTCTCCTCTACCACCACTAGATGGCGCCACGTGTACCGTGTTTTTTTAGTCAATTCAATTAATGTAGTTGATTTTGTAAGCTTAACTGACTGTAATATTAATCAATTTACATTGTAGTGCAAGACCAATTAATTTCGAATTGTTTTGACTTAACAAACTATTACCAAATTTTGACCATTCTTAGATTAATACTAATTAGCCTAAGAGTGTCTGTGGTGATCATCGGAGTCGTCGTCAGCCAAGAGGAATTCTATTTTCAAGCCGTCGATAAAGAAGAATTTCATTTGCATTTGATATTCAATTTTATTTATGTTCAATTGTATTTTTAAAAGACATTTATGTTCAATTGTATTTTTAAAAGACATTTATGTTCAATTGTATTTCTAAAAGACATTTTAACGTGTTCGTTATTCATTTCATAATCAAATCTGAATTTAAAACCACATATTTTAAATTCAATTTCAATAAATCAGTTATTTTTGAAAGTTATTATTAATTGACTAATTTTAAATGTAGAAAAACACCCTCTGAAGACACCCTGAGGCTAATTAGTATTAACCTAAGAATGGTCAAAATTTGGTAATAGTTTAAGTCAAAACAATTCGAAGTTAATTGCTCTTGCACTACGATGTAATTTGATTAATATTGTAGAATAATATTTAATAATTATAAAGATTAATGAAGTTTATTAACAAAGTATGACTGGTTTGAATAACGACTGACTGGATAGACTGAAATGAATAACGAACGTTTTTCTTTTAAAAATACAATTGAACATAAATAAAATTGAATATCAATTAGAAATAAAATTCTTCTTTATCGACGGCTTGAAAATAGAATTCCTCTTGACCGACGACGACTCCAATGATCACCACAAGACGATAACGCATGGCGCCATCTAGTGGCAGCGTATAGGAACTAATTAAACTACTGTTTCAAAAGTTTGTAGTTCACCCTGTTTATTGAAGAGATGGCGCCACGTGTTCGTTAAAAAAAAATTGCATTTAATAGTGATTTTATTGAATAATGTGCTATATATTTATTAATATTAATTTTATACTGCTTCAAATATATTCCGAGGGTCCAAAAATGCGAATTACGTATTTAGAACAATTCGTATCTCGTCGATAATATAGGGAATGACAATAGATTTCCTTTCGAGTCGCCAAAAACCATTTTCACAGATATCTTCTTAAAAAGAGCTTATTTGCAAAATTCCATTGATACTGAAACACAACGATTTTCCAAAGCTTCGCCACTTAAAACTAATCTGCTTGGAAAACGTATACTTGCATAAATTTTGTTATTTACCGATTTCGAAAATGTAGAAATCTATGTACCGTGCGTGGACTTTTAACTAGAAAAACTAACATTGAATTTTCGTCTTAATATACAATCATATGCTTGAATAAATAGAGTGAATAGTGTAATATTATTCAATTTTTCTATTAAAAAATTGTCCAATTGAAATATGACATGAAACTGTGCAGATTAATTTTTCGTCCCTACACAGATGGCTCTAATGTTTTGAAATAGGGGTGGTCTTTTTGAAATACAGCGAATAAAAAATTCTGACTTCATTTTTCAAATTGACAATTTGCAAAACTAAGTTTAGTCATAGTTATCGAAAAAAATTTTATTATGAACAATATGATTAACTAACTATCCAATCTCCAACCCCTAACCATTCAATTATGTACACATCGGTTGCTATTACTTACGTTCTTAATATTAATTTTTGGTTTAGATTACTTAATTAACTTTAATGGATATACAGCCATCTTGATTTTATAAAGCAAATCTTCTCCTAAATTTGAAATTTGCAAATTATGGATTTGGAGATTTGGAAATTGGAGAGTTTGAAAATTGAGGGATTGGAAATCTGGGAATTTGAGGGTTAAAAAATATGTTATGTTACAAATTCCAAAATTTTAGAAATTTGGGGATTTAGATCTTTGGACGTTCAAATGTTTGAGAATTTGGGATGTCTGATTTAGAAATTTGGGAATTTGAGAATTGGGAATTTTGGAAGGTGGTAATTTGAGAATTGGGAATTTTGGAAGATGGGAATTTGAGAATTGCGAATTTTGGAAGGTGGGAATTTGAGAATTGGGAATTTTGGAAGGTGGGAATTGGAGAATTGGGAATTTTGGACGGTGGGAATTTGAGAATTGGGAATTTTGGAAGGTGGGAATTGGAGAATTGGGAATTTTGGACGGTGGGAATTTGAGAATTGGGAATTTTGGAAGGTGGGAATTGGAGAATTGGGAATTTTGGACGGTGGGAATTTGAGAATTGGGAATTTTGGAAGGTGGGAATTGGAGAATTGGGAATTTTGGACGGTGGGAATTTGAGAATTGGGAATTTTGGAAGGTGGGAATTGGAGAATTGGGAATTTTGGACGGTGGGAATTTGAGAATTGGGAATTTTGGAAGGTGGGAATTGGAGAATTGGGAATTTTGGACGGTGGGAATTTGAGAATTGGGAATTTTGGAAGGTGGAAATTTGAGAATTGGGAATTTTGGAAGGTGGGAATTTGAGGACTGGGAATTTTGGAAGGTGGGAATTTGAGAATTGGGAATTTTGGATGGTGGGAATTTGAGAATTGGGGATATAGAAATTTGGAAATTCAAACATGGAGAATTTAGGAATGTGAAAACTTAGAGATAGGAAATTTGGCGAGTAGGGAGATTTGGAAATTTAAAAATTTAGAATTATTGAATTTTTAAACTTGCAAATTTAGTAACTCAGAAATTTCCAAGTCCACAAATTTTGCAAATTGCAAATTTACAAACTTAAGTATTTTCAAATCATAAGTTCAAAAACCTGAAAAATTACAAATTTTGAATTTCAATCGCTCAGAAATTCCATCACTCGAAAATTAAAAAATTATAAAATATAAAATCTACAAAATTAAACCTAAAACTATATAATTTAAAAATGTTTCCAAACTTCTAATACCAAATACACAAAACATCTTCCATCCTCCGCACATATCTCGCATTACACAGCTCGGCTCAATTCGTATTTCGGAGGGTTCAATCCACCCTGCTCCTTCCCGGTAAAGTCAACAGTTATCGATCATAATCGAATGCGTCTGATTCATACGACAAACGATATACAGACACTGCATGTATTTATCGGTATCAGTCACATAATTACCATGGTAACGCATTGATAAAACGCGACTCGTGTTTGATTTGCTATTCAGTCCTGTCGGTGCTCCTGAGGGAATCCTCTGTACTTCGTGTACGAGTATTTCGTGAAATTCACACGTGGCCCACTGCATGTGTACCAATCGATTAGATTTCCTGGAAGGTTCCCTGTTTCCCGATAAAGCGTAGGATGTTCGTCATTTCATTACGGATTTCCATCGATCACCGAAGCTTGAGGAGGAACGTGGAAAACGGAGGCTAATCGTTTGGCTAATTGGGATCGAATAGGATTTCTCAGAAATCTGATAAAGATTTAGTTTGTCTGATTCGCTGATACGGTTTAAGGAATGAAATCGGTTTCGTCGGATGTGGCATTAGTATCTGTGTTGTTCGATGTCGGTGTAAAATACGTGCCTCTTGATTAATGGACAAAGATTTTTATAGGTTATCTTCGACAGAAAAGTCGATATTACTGAACATTTTGTTATACCACCACATTCTTACTGATATTTTATTAAAAATAAAATTTACCGATATTTATTTTTAATAAAATTTACTGATATTTATTTTTAATAAAATATGGGGAAAATTTTTGGGGTGGTTGATTATTATAAAGTATATCTTTGATTTTTCCATCGTTAAATTACTTATGACGCTGTTAATATATGGAACTGTTTATTGTTAATTTATGACCACATTCATCACATTCTTACCGATATTTATTTTTAATAAAATATCGGAGTGGTTTATGTATCAAGGAAATTTTTGGGGTGGTTGATTATTATAAAGTATATCTTTGATTTTTCCATTGTTAAATTACTTATGACGCTGTTAATACATGGAACTGTTTATTGTTAATTTATGACCATATTCACCACACTCTAACCGATATTTATTTTTAATAAAAAATCAGGGTGGTTTGTGTATCAAGGAAATTTTTGGGGTGGTTGATTATTACAAAGTATATCTTTGATTTTTCCATCGTTAAATTACTTATGACACTGTTAATACATGGAACTGTTTATTGTTAATTTATGACCACATTCACCACACTCTTACCGATATTTATTTTTAATAAAATATCGGGGTGGTTTATGTATCGGGGAAATTTTTGGGGTGGTTGATCATTACAAAGTATTTGATTACTTTTACCATCGTTAAATTATGACGCTGTTAATATTACTGTTCATTGTTAATTTATGACATGAAGGAAAATGTAATTTATCTGTATATATTTGTATTTGTATAATCATGCAATAATTTTTAGAATAATTGGAAGGGAAACTGGGGTAGATTTTGGGTAGAAAGTAAATAACATTTTAATCATCCCTTTGTTCGTTTAAATTCAGTATGATGAACAAAGGAAGAATGTAAATTTAACGGTATTGATAAAAAATATTGATTTTATTCATTCAATAATTATTTTTTTAAACACAAAGCTACTATATTATTTTCTGTTAACATAAATACTATGCTATTGTCTCAACATTTCCAACAAAATTCACATGAAAATCATAATTAATTTAACAAGATACGATCACTGAATTAGTAAAAAATTCTTTTGTAATTTAATCGAAAAACAAAATATACTAAAAATTAAAGAAAAAATATAATATTTATTTGTAACATTATGAAGAATAAAAAACTGTGAAATTCATAAGAGTATATAATCAAAATCAATATTAATTGCATTCAATTGCAATTTGAATTAACAGTGAACTTAATTTTTTTAATAACGAATAAAAAAAATTGAATACTAAAGATATGTACAGGATTGAACATAACTGAAAATTTAACCAATAATTTTGCTCAATATTATACAAAATTGTACATTATTATAAAATCGATTGAACTATTATTTTTAATACTTCACAATATTGCTGATGTATCATGCTTCCAACTAAATTGATCAAACTATATATACATTAGTACATGAACAATATCATGACCAAAAACAATCAGCAGTACATTTTACCGATACTAATAATTACATTTATTAATTTACAACATCCCTTAAATCAGTTTATCTTCAAAGTTATTGCTGAAATCTTCACCGCAACTTTCCTCTCAAACTTTTTAACGAATTTTCGAATTCAATTTCCTCGAAAGATCTTACATAAACAAATTTCATTCTGCACTCCTCATCCATTCACCCTCTGCGTGTCCCCAAAAAACACCCGTACATCAAATTTCACCGGGAACTATCATCCTTATCTCGCAATCTAGTTGCAACAAAGCCAATTATTCAACGTCAAAAAAAAACGACTGCATTCAGCAATCCTTCAGAATCAGAACAATCAGAATTAAGCCCAGAATTTGTGTACGGTTCATGCGACTATGGTTTATCCGACCTGGCGTGTCACGCTCGTGACACGCTATCATAGAGCAAGGGTTGAAGAAATAATTGCTAACAATTACCGACATTCTGAGTGTATGAAACACGGGTTGCAAGCTAGGGGTATCAAGCAAGTATCGAGGGGGTGGTAGGTGGCCAGGCTCGGCTCCGGATGGCCATCTCTGAAGCGTCAAACGAAAAAGGGATAACTACGGTGGCGCCACGATCGGTCAAAATTCGAACGAAAGCTTGCGCCGGACCGCGCAGATCGCCCTCAGTAGTTGCCCAGACGCTGTCACGGGCGTAGCTGGATGCTGGGTTGTCTCTCTCTCTCGTGCGCGCGCGTGTCGCAGGGAGGTGCTTCCTTTTCTTCTTCCTCTTCCTCCTAAAGCTCGTCCTGCGTCGTTTTTCGATCGTCGAAGGACGCCGGTGGCTGTCGTTGCATCCGAAAACGAGAAGAAGAAAAGGTGCCGGAGAAAAGGGAGGCCGACGTGAAATGTAAATTTAACGGTATTGATAAAAAATATTGATTTTATTCATTCAATAATTATTTTTTTAAACACAAAGCTACTATATTATTTTCTGTTAACATAAATACTATGCTATTGTCTCAACATTTCCAACAAAATTCACATGAAAATCATAATTAATTTAACAAGATACGATCACTGAATTAGTAAAAAATTCTTTTGTAATTTAATCGAAAAACAAAATATACTAAAAATTAAAGAAAAAATATAATATTTATTTGTAACATTATGAAGAATAAAAAACTGTGAAATTCATAAGAGTATATAATCAAAATCAATATTAATTGCATTCAATTGCAATTTGAATTAACAGTGAACTTAATTTTTTTAATAACGAATAAAAAAAATTGAATACTAAAGATATGTACAGGATTGAACATAACTGAAAATTTAACCAATAATTTTGCTCAATATTATACAAAATTGTACATTATTATAAAATCGATTGAACTATTATTTTTAATACTTCACAATATTGCTGATGTATCATGCTTCCAACTAAATTGATCAAACTATATATACATTAGTACATGAACAATATCATGACCAAAAACAATCAGCAGTACATTTTACCGATACTAATAATTACATTTATTAATTTACAACATCCCTTAAATCAGTTTATCTTCAAAGTTATTGCTGAAATCTTCACCGCAACTTTCCTCTCAAACTTTTTAACGAATTTTCGAATTCAATTTCCTCGAAAGATCTTACATAAACAAATTTCATTCTGCACTCCTCATCCATTCACCCTCTGCGTGTCCCCAAAAAACACCCGTACATCAAATTTCACCGGGAACTATCATCCTTATCTCGCAATCTAGTTGCAACAAAGCCAATTATTCAACGTCAAAAAAAAACGACTGCATTCAGCAATCCTTCAGAATCAGAACAATCAGAATTAAGCCCAGAATTTGTGTACGGTTCATGCGACTATGGTTTATCCGACCTGGCGTGTCACGCTCGTGACACGCTATCATAGAGCAAGGGTTGAAGAAATAATTGCTAACAATTACCGACATTCTGAGTGTATGAAACACGGGTTGCAAGCTAGGGGTATCAAGCAAGTATCGAGGGGGTGGTAGGTGGCCAGGCTCGGCTCCGGATGGCCATCTCTGAAGCGTCAAACGAAAAAGGGATAACTACGGTGGCGCCACGATCGGTCAAAATTCGAACGAAAGCTTGCGCCGGACCGCGCAGATCGCCCTCAGTAGTTGCCCAGACGCTGTCACGGGCGTAGCTGGATGCTGGGTTGTCTCTCTCTCTCGTGCGCGCGCGTGTCGCAGGGAGGTGCTTCCTTTTCTTCTTCCTCTTCCTCCTAAAGCTCGTCCTGCGTCGTTTTTCGATCGTCGAAGGACGCCGGTGGCTGTCGTTGCATCCGAAAACGAGAAGAAGAAAAGGTGCCGGAGAAAAGGGAGGCCGACGTGAAAGCTTTCCTGCCGGGTTGGTCAGAGAGAGAGAGAGAGAGAGAGAGAGAAAGGGGGATGAAATAGAAGGGCTCGGGAGAGGGAGACCGGTAAACCGAGAAACGGAGATGGGCGAGAGAGAAATAGACAAGTAACGAGGAATAACGAGAAGCACAGAAACGGAAGGAAGCTGCACGGGAGGGGTGGAGATGTGTTGAAGTGTGTTCTGTGTATATATGGTGCAGTGCGGTGCTGTGCTCGAGAGAGAGAGAATGGCGTGGTCGGATTTCGCGTGCACCTTGCCGTGACGTCGAAAGGTGAGTTCCATTTCGTATGCTTTAATCGTCGGAAGCAACGTTTCGAACTTCGATTGCCCGCCGACGTAGATAATTGCCCACGATTCGAACGATGCTCCGAAGGGTCGTTCGCCGGTGCCGCGTGCGCCCCTGTCGTCTGACAACCATGAAGCTTTCTCGCGTGCACGAACAGATATATCATCTCAAATTTTAATCGAACGTCTGATTAGAACCGAGAGGTGATCTCCGATGATACGTGTTTGCCAAGCTCGCGTTTGAATGATAAGCGTGAGATAAATAAATATGGCGGCGTTTTGAGGGGGTAGTCGCGAGGAATTTAGCGCGATTGTGCGTTAGAAATGCTGCGTTTTGATTGGTTCAATCGATTCTATCGGACATGGAAACCGTGTGACGTTGTAATGTGGGATAAACAATTATTTTTATATGCGTTTAATTTTAGTTTATTGGCAATCGGGTATTTGCGGCTTAAGATATTATTTTGTTATCGAACTTGGTAAATTTAGACAAATTTTTATTTCTGAATAGAAGCGCGGTGATTGTTTAGACGAGTTTAGACAATTTTTATTTCGGAATGATTTCGAGTTGATGAATTAGACAATTTTTATTTTGAAATAGATCTTTTATGCTACTGCATTAGACAAACGTATAAAATCTTTGTTTTTAAAAAGAACTTCTACAGATTAGATTGATTTAAGAATTCTTAAATTTTTTAGAATTTTTCTTGCTATCGAATTAATTTAATTTAGACAATTTTAATTTTAGAAAATTTTTCTATTATACTGTATTTGAAAACTTTAAATTTGGAAAGAGCTTTCATTTCTTAAAAAGATAAACTCTTTACTACTTAAAATTAAACTTAATAACCCTTGAGCCCAACGAATCGTTCTATTTTCGCATTTGTTGGAAAATACTTAATTAAACTTGTGCGAATACTTCGGTCGGATTAAATTGCCAAATTTTAATATAAAAGCAGTCATGTTAGAAGCGCAGAAATTAATATGCTTATAAGACCATGCACATTTTAAAGGTTATATGAAAATTTTAATTTTCGAGAACGTTGTTAGTACACGCATTTAATTTTACTATGGTAGTAATAGTGAAGCTGTATCGAATTTTATGAAGTTTATTAAGTACCATTTATGTTTTTATGTAAGCTGTACATTTACAGGGCTCCATTTGGAGAATTTTATCTTCATCGTTATACAGTTTATTACATAAATAACTTTGCAGTTTATTGTACAAATTAGTATAATTATTATTACGCTGCAATATTAGTATAACATTTCACTACAAACGGGAATGTATTTTCATGCATAGTTCGTTTGCTGGTTACAAAAGAATATGTTTCTCCACTGAGATTCGAATACCGTTGAATGTATTCTGTAAATCAAAATTGCAATTAATTATATGGTGAAATATGCAATTAGACTTCGTTTAAAATGTACAGTATAAATATAACTTTGTAATTGCTACTCAATTTCGATGTATGGTTTAAGCATTGAATGGGACATTCAATGAATTTCGCAACCAGCTTCAATGATTTCAAATAGTAAACACAACTCGCAACAAGCGAATTAGGTAAACATTGTTGACCTGTTCTCGTATCGTGAAGTATCGATAGCAACCCCAGTTACGGGCTTCTGTACTTTTTCAAACTTTTACCGTCATTTTTTAGTTTAGTTTGACGTGTTTGATTATTGTGCCGGTGATCTGTGATGAACAACATTTAAATTCTGTGGCTCACATTTCAAAATACTCCGGTATTTCAATTCTTTAATTTTTCAATTTTCAATTTTTGCATTTCTCAATTTTTTAAGTTATCAATTTTTCGAGTTTTCAATTTTTCAACTCTCTCATTTCCAATTTTTCAATTCTTCAATTCTTCAGTTCTTCAATTTTTTAATTTTTCAATTTTTCAATTTCTCAATTTTTCAATTTTTCAACTTTTCAATTTTTCTGTTTCTCAATTTTTTTATTTCTCAATCTTTCAATTTCTCAATTTCACAGTTTTTCAATTCCTCAATTCTTCTATTTTTCTATTTATTTTTCAATTTTTCAATTTTTCAATTTTTCAATTTTTCAATTTTTCAATTTTTCAATTTTTCAATTTTTCAATTTTTCAATTTTTCAATTTTTCAATTTTTCAATTTTTCAATTTTTCAATTTTTCAATTTTTCAATTTTTCAATTTTTCAATTTTTCAATTTTTCAATTTTTCAATTTTTCAATTTTTCAATTTTTCAATTTTTCAATTTTTCAATTTTTCAATTTTTCAATTTTTCAATTTTTCAATTTTTCAATTTTTCAATTTTTCAATTTTTCAATTTTTCAATTTTTCAATTTTTCAATTTTTCAATTTTTCAATTTTTCAATTTTTCAATTTTTCAATTTTTCAATTTTTCAATTTTTCAATTTTTCAATTTTTCAATTTTTCAATTTTTCAATTTTTCAATTTTTCAATTTTTCAATTTTTCAATTTTTCAATTTTTCAATTTTTCAATTTTTCAATTTTTCAATTTTTCAATTTTTCAATTTTTCAATTTTTCAATTTTTCAATTTTTCAATTTTTCAATTTTTCAATTTTTCAATTTTTCAATTTTTCAATTTTTCAATTTTTCAATTTTTCAATTTTTCAATTTTTCAATTTTTCAATTTTTCAATTTTTCAATTTTTCAATTCTTCAATTTTTCAATTCTTCAATTCTTCAATTTTTCAATTTTTCACTTCTTCAATCCTTCAATTTATCGCTTTTTCAATCTACAGTTCAATTATTCAATTTTTCAGACTTTCTGTTTTCAGTTTCTAAATCCTTGAAGTCTTTAAAGCTTCATATCTTCACATTTCTAAATTTCCATATTTCCTGAATTTTCAATTTCCGAGTTTTCAAGCATTCCAATTTCCCAATTTTGCAAGTTAGAATTAAATCAGTTTTCCGCTCTTATAAGCTACCCTCGTGAATCAAAATGGCTCTACTTCTCTCATAGTTCCTCTTCGGTTAATATTCCCGGTAATTCGTATTAGTACACACATACGTGCAGATAGGTCTGTTTCTACTGTGTCAGTCGAAGTGCTCAACTTACAGACGGACCGATGAAAACGTTCGGTGATTAATATCGACGTTTTTCCACTTGAACTATGACATTGAGTTTTCATTTTAATTGGATCGAGCAAGGTGCAGGTGGAAAATTGTTTCGATGACCACGTGCGGTGTAACGCGATCCCATATGAGTTATCAGAAATGCTCCGCGGTATTGAAGTAATCACGATGTTGATATTGCTCACAATATTTGAATATGTGGAATTCATCTGTAATTAACGAACAAACATTAATTCTCTACCTCATCTACTTTCCACTTTCCATTTCTACTACTTTCTTCCTCATTTTTAATCTCGGAGGGTTTCACAAATATTTCTTATTTTTCATTAATATTTTTATATATTTTTGTACAATTTTAATGATGGTTATTAAATTCGTATTTAGACATCTTTGTATACAGTTAATGAGGACACATATATATATTCATATGTGTCGTATGTGTACATATGTGTACATATGTGTACGCGTGTGTACATGTGTGTACATATGTGTACACGTGTGTACATGTGTGTACATATGCGTTCATATGAGTAGATACATATGTGTACATATGTGTTCATATTTGTTCATATGTGTTCATGTGTATAATATATGTGTAACATATGTGTCATATGTGTAACACGTATGTAACATATGTGTTTTCTAACAATTAAGTATATTAGACAATGAATTAAAAGTCAATTGATCGTATTAGATGTCATATGTAGTATAGAATTGATCGCATGAAATATATGAATATGTGAATAATCACATATGTTAAACAACATATGTATTACAGTAACTTCAATTGTATAAAATACTATATATTCCACAAAGCAATTAAAGGTATCGAAGAACATATTACAAATCAATTAATTATATTAATTAACATATATAATTAGAAAAAAATTAATAGCATGAAGCAACATATGTATCAAATAATAATTACACATGTTCAATAACATGAGCATCCAAGAAGCACTAAATCACATATATGGTAACAATTAGTTGCATCAGTTAACATACCTATTAAGTAACAATCAATTATACCAAATAACCTCAAATATCAAATTTCATCAAATAAAATATGTACTAATTAACACGTGTATCAAAATACTGTTAACTAACATATCTTCCAATCACACACGAAGTTTGATTTCACTGTTCAGTGAACAATCTGACGATAATGAACATACTGATGATAACGTATCGATCATAACACGATTATTGATAGTGTCCTTACGACATGATCTAAAACGTTTCAACAGATGTCTCCGTTAATTCCATTACAGACGTCTCCGAGACGATACCCGTAGGTATTCGCGTGCGCTGTAAACTACAGCCTGGCTGTAGCCTAACTACGTTATCACACCGTACGTTAGGTGGCCGTTTGTGACGTTGATAAGCACGTGTCAAGCATACGTTGTGGCAGCGAAATGGGAACCTTGTTAGACAGCTTCATGAGAACGTTTCAAAGCGTTTCATCGTCGTCGCTTTTAGTTGGCCCGATCGAAATTACCGGTGTCCTTTCGAGATCGAGTTTTACTTAGGTTTAGGTTAGATTGAGAATCGCCTTGTCTTTTAGGTAGAGAATGAATATTTAAATGAACTATTTTATGTAATTATCTATTGAATGTAATTATCTTCTACAGTTAATAATTGCATTTTGTAGAATATATCTTGAGGTGTAGAAGGATCTTGTGTGTGCTGGAGAGATTAATGTTGAAATTGGAAATGTGAATATTTAGAAACTTGAAAATGTTCAGGTGGGAAAAGTGGCAAATTGAAAGAATTGAAAAATTGAGAAATTGAAAATTGGGAAGCTGGAGAATTGTAGAATAGAACATTTGTGAGTTGGGAATTTGGACTCTGAAAAGTTGGACTATTATAAGATTTAGAAACTTGTAAACTTGACAGTTTGACAA